AGCCGAGACGGCCCGAGTGGAGTTTCATGTAAATCTGTGGGCCTAGCAGAATATCGCCATTTATAAATTGTCATAACTACCACATTTCTCATGTAAATACATTAAAATTTATATCAATATGTTCACCTACATATTCACAAACTAAAAATCAAACTTATATTTCAATGTAAAGCAAATAACATTCAAAATTTTACCTCCAAAGTTGAGCTACTTCTGCCTGAAAATCCCGTGAATTCTGCAAGCGCTATTCTAAAGCATTGGCTTCTAAACAGACTTGTTATTGGTCGATTTTTACAAAAATAAAAAGTCCGACGCCGTTTATTAACCAATCAAATTAATTTTTACATATATTATAGGTAATAAACATGGCTACATTTTGCCACAACAATGACAAAATTCGGCCCAATATCAGCGAAGCTACTGCAAAAAAACTTCGGGCGATTTGCCAGATTTCTACAAAAATCGTAGGTTTCACGCAGTAAAATTTCAAAAACTATCGTTACAAAATTAAAAAGTCCGACGAGATTTGGCAACCTTATAAATTAAAATTAAGACTAATAAAACTATTATTAAATTTCGAATAAAATAAAAGAACAATGGCGAAAATCGGACGAGTAGAAGTGAAGTTATGAAGGAAAATGTGAGAAAAAATAGCGAAAATTGCGGAAAATCGAACGTTTCGAGTAAAATTAAATGAATTAGCGGCGATTAAACTTATCCTAATGATTTATGATTAGCGCCCTCTATAATGTAGCTTACTCGAACGACATCGTTAACCTCAAATAATATTACTGTTATGAAATCACGAATAACTCTAAATGACAATTGTAATAATTATCTAAGACCTGAAACATAGACGCTGAAATACCGGGTTGGTGTCCGGATACCAAACAACAGTATTAATACACTAACATCAAACAGACCTCGGACCTATGGGACGGCCTAAAATTCACTAATGATGCCTAAGAGCTTGGAAAATGGAGGCCACATAGTGCATATATACAATGAACATGTATACCGTGATCGATTATTTTTGGAAAGCTGTTTTGATGATGATATTTTGAACAATCGTACATAACAAACAGAAAAATAATATATCAAGAACATAGGCCTACTATTATGGTCTAGTCATCTTCCGACCATTCACGAATGGGCAGATAATTTTTCATTCCATATATTGGTGGATATTTTACTACTTTTGCTTTGGTACCAGCATTTTTGGGCACTGGCGCATGCTTTCTCTTCCATTGCTGCACTTATCCTGATGTCCACATCCCTCCTCCTGCTGTTTTGAAATTTGTATTTCAGTTTGGATAGCCACAGTTGCTGGAAAATTGAATAAATTACAATAACATGTAAAACATAGCATTATTCTTATTCCTAATGAGTTATCGCCTAAAAACAAATCTTCATGCATTTTCTTCTACTGGCAAACATTACTCATCTACGACAGATTGAGAAAAAGTTCCTTTGTAGAAATCCACGATCCCTCAATCACATTGTTGAAAATGTCTAAATGGTTAGCATTGTAGGTCCAGATTCGAACACATACCGTAAGAATTGATTTGAAATGTACTTTAGGGTTAGCTCATTTTGTCATTGGAGGGAAGTATGTACGTTGAAAAAATACAATTGTTGTAAGTTATGCAGTATATTCAAAATTTAAAATCCATCCACTCTTCTATCCTATTTATGCAAAAATATTTGTCCCTTTACTTTCCAACCCCACACCGAGGTATTTCTGAACACTGCCTAGGACAGTCTACAGAACATTTATTATTTGCCACATTCTATCTACCGGTACCTTTTGGTAAACACCCATGCAAGCAATATATCTACCTACCTTCTTATTTGACGTATCAGATGATAATTGGGGGTGTCATGAAAGTAGTTGCTCCACTACAAACACCAATGGAAGCAGGATTTAATTTTCCTTTACGACCTACCATCTTTATTTTGGAGTAAACAGGATGAATAAAATTAAAATAACAAACTTATATCCCAATAATGAATTCATATAATTGTAACTTGATGAGGTAAATGTTAACTACATCACTAAATTTACATTTGGAAGGATTTGGATACAAAATGAAGATGCTTGTCATGGATATTTATCGATTCAATCAGGATGACAACAAAGTGCAAAAAGTGTATTATTGCAGTAAATTTCACCCTTCTGCCCTGGGAGCTACAACCTGTTAGCTGCCCTGAGAGCCACAATCTGTTAGCGGCTGGCCTAGGATCCCATTTGTGAAACTCCGCCTTGCCAACTTTCATGGACACCTCCATCATAAGTTTATTGAGAATACTAGTTTCAAGACATGATCTTGAGTCATATTTTATTCTCTTCATACAGCTAAAACCTCTTTCACAGCAAGATGTGGAGAGTGAACAAACAGCAGTGAGATGTACTCTTTTAGAATGTGGCAAAACTCCTTTCTTTGTTTATTTTCTTGGGAAATTCTCTGCCACATTTTAGGTGGGTACATTTCTTTCAGATGCGGGTTTTGCCAGTCTTTTGTATCAAATATATGGCAAGCAGTAAACAATGACTGAGAATGACAGTCTGTAAAACGATTGTTGAGGCAAGTGATGGCTTTTATTTTGCATTTGTATATTTTATCCATAAAAATATCTTTAATTTTACATTAAAAACATAGGTTTTGGTAAACTTTGTTAGTATTTGTGCAAAAGAGTTAAAATTTAGTGTCAAATTGTTTGTTATGCATGCATTTATATTATTTATTAGGCTTAGCTGTTTTGAATATGGAACATTTTTTCCAAAATTAATTAATTACCGAAAGGCATATTTTTACTGCAAAAAAACATGATTTTTTATAATGTTCATATTTTCAAGGCCATCAAATATTTTTAATCATTAAATACTATAAAATGATAGCGAAATTGACATTAAATAATTATAACTATGGTACTCTATGATAGTAATATATACTGGGACATAAAGGACCACAGTTGGTTGAACTGAGTTGTTAATTCCAGGTTAAACAAGAAATACAGTAAATAAATTTCCAGTTCCTGAGTGTTATCACATGGTCAAGAAGATTAAACTAAAAACAAAATGAAAGGGGCTAAGGAAATGTTCAAATTAGTACTTCTTTGGTATTTTGAAATCTTGTGTATATAATAAAATAATATTTGTGTGTAAAATCTGTGTATGTTATATAAAACTTTTGTCATGGTGATTTATGTGAATACTGGAATGCAATATGGACAAATTACTGTAAATAAATTGTTGAAAACGATAACTTTGATATAACAGCTACGTACTGCACTAAGTTAATAATATTTTATTTCTATCAAGTCAATTGACAAAATACATAAATCCAACAAAAGATTGATGAAATCAAATTTTTGATGCAAGATATTTAGGGGTGTTGCTTCCCATGCTATGGCACATTATATGCTGTTGATTTTCGCACTTGCAGAGTTTAGGTGCAAAGAACTATTAAACAGGAATACAGAAATTATTACTGTAATTAGGAACAATTAAACAATGCGAGACTTAAATTGAGTGGATTCATATGAAAACTAGTATTGCACTAAATTTAAAATTATGCATGGATCTGCCCGACATAAAGTGTTATGTTCTTTGATAATTATTACTGTGTTGTGTAAACAGAGCAACAAGAACATGCTTGAGTCCATTTAACGATTTGTTACTGAACTATTTATTCACTTCCTTGCTCCAGAGGGCGCTATGTATGTTCACTTGCAATACTGTGAGGTTTGAACATCACATAAAGTAAAACTGTATATGTAATCTTCAAATTTTTATGTAACCCACTTCTGGCCAGATGTATATGGAATTAGAAATTGTGACAAACGGAGGGGTTTGCCAGGGCCGGTTACCGTAAAATGTGGTAACTTCGGTCACTTTTTTCATATTTTGTCAAATTTTCTTCCATAACCCCCCAATTATTCTGGAAAATTCCAATATAGTAATAACATTGTTATGCCATTGGATGTATTAGTATTGAAATTGTGGCAATAATTATGAAATTTTGAAATAAACTTGCAGTTACCACAAGAAAATTTAAAATATGCACTAAAAATGAGTTAAAAAATTAAATTGCACAAATGTAAAATATGCACTAAACGTGAGTTGAAAAATTAAATTGCACTAATCTCAAATATGCACTAAAACATGAGTTTAAATATTAAATTACCACTTATGTCAAATATGCAATAAAAAAGAAGTTTAAAAATTAAATTACAATTATGTCAAATATGCAATAAAACACGAGTTTAAAAATTATATAAAAAAGTACTTTTTTTTTTATTACAGGACTGTGCCTTGAATAACCGATATATACAAAATTAACCTAGAAAAAAAGCATTAGACAAATTAAACATTGTTTAATTTACTTTAGTCTATCAAGGTGAAGGGTAGTTTGCTGGAAAATATTACACACATTATCATTCACAGTGTTCGATGTTGATGGTAGCGGAATTTCTTCAAGAGCTTTTCCAGGAGCAATTTTCTTCCCACGTTTCCGTTTTGGTGCATCATTCTGTCCTCTGTTTTCTTTTAACATCTCAATTAAGGATTCACCCAACGTGCAGCAAATCTGTGCTCGGTTATCGTTTTCAGTTGATTCAGTTGTGTCCGGAAGACTTTTCAAAACTTGTTTAGGGTCTAATGGATACAGTCCACATACACGAAACCCTGATTTTAAGTTCTTACTTTTGCTCTCTGATACTTCCTTCCAAAGTCTATTAAGCAAAGATGGAAACACTTCTTTTGGTATGGTGCCTTGTAACCTGGTTGTCTTATGCCAACCGTTCAATATTGTCCGCCACACCTCCTTCATAGGTTTAAAAACAGCAACATCAAGCATCAATCATTCGGCGGAAGAGCTGTAAAGTAAACATTGTTCGCTTTTGCGGCCGCTACAACTTCTGGTGAAAAGTGGCTGGCCAAGTTATCCCCAACCAAAAGTTTCTGTCCATCAATCTTTCCCGCATGTGGCAAGAAAATTTCAAAAAAACCATCTTTGGAATGTGTCCATATCAAACCACCCAGATGCTGTAGCGTCATATCTGGTTCTTAGTGGTCCATTTACCATCCAGCATTCGTACAAATTGGCAGCTTTATATATCACAAAGGGTGGAAGTAGTTCTCCACTTGCACTGCCACAAACCATTAATGAAATAGCCATCTTTGAATGTCCCATGACTCTTTCCACTCTTCTCATCCCACGAGGTACGATTACTTTCTTTGCTTTTGGGTCGTCTGTGATGTTATTCTCATCATAATTGAAGATGCGTTCCGGTGTCATGTTAGCGATAACAGGCTCTAGGTTTGAGAAGTATTCAATTACTTCATTTTTGTTTACTCGTGCTCGAGATCTTTTGATGTTTCCAGGTGTCCTCTGTGTAAGTTTATTTCTAGCCACAAATGATCTAACGAAGTCTGGCCCAGGCATATTCTTAAACCTTTCAACACGGCGTCCTTTTTTGTCAAGGTATGCTTTAACAAGGCATTGTAAATCATCTCTTGTCATCGGGTACCCCCATTTTGCAACTTCATATAAAGTGCTTACAACTTCTCTCTCTTCTTCATCTGTCAGAACTGTAGGCTGTCCATATTTCTTTGTATGCTGTCCATTTACTTTGTCAAGTTCAAGTTTATTTATTTAAAATATATAGACATTTTGAAAACAAGGACAAAAAACCGTTTCTCCTAAAGTACAGAAATTTATCTTTAAAGTTGAAATAGGGCCTACCAAAACAAATTCTTTTTTTATTAAAATATTTATTTGAAATTAATTATAGAAACATTTGATTTGTGTGTGTGTGTATACAGGTCTCATTCCAATTAAAGACCACTTTCGGGACTGGGTTTTCTGTGGTCTTTAGCAGTTTTGGTCTCTAATTAGAATAATGAAGATAGAAGGAAATTTATTAGTTTGGGACCACAGAAAAGTGGTCTTTGATTGCTTTCATATCGGATTCCGATTTATGTCCTAACATGTACCCTTATTTTTTATTTGTTACTCTCTTCATGCTACATGCATCCGATAGAAAACTCAATATTTGATATTGTAGTTTTAATTACATTACTGCTGATTTCATACTATAAATTAATTTTATTTTATGTCACCGTTGTATTAAAACAGAAACAAAAACTATTCAACAAACTCGAAAATCGGATAACAACAGCCAAACAATCACACAAACTGAAGACAATATTTCATTAAATTATTTAATAAAAAGAAACGTTTTGTTCGAAAAGTATTATTTGTTTTCAAACGATGTGATTATATTTTTTTATTAGTTCAGTGGCATACCAGGTTGAGTATTTTTCGCGAAAGCCATACTGATCGGGATTGAAAATAGCATATTGTCAAGTAACAAAAAGTCTATTGTACATTGCACGCTCCCCACCATTGTACATTGCAGGACCCCACTGGAAATAAGTCTTCTTCTAGGCTTTCGTGGGCTATCCTTGGTGTTTGCACCGAATAAATCCAAATCCAAATTCAAGGATTTTGGATAAGACTAGAAGGATTGATATTGAACGATAATTTGAAATTTCGTTTACTTTTATACCCTTCTTGTAAATTGGGATTACCCTTGAGATTTCAGTTGATTTGGCACTATAACAGAAATAAACGAACAATTTAAGATGTGTGTAAGTGGGACGGCTATTTGATCTGCAATGTCGTGGGTATACATCATCGTCGAGAGGACTTTTACTACTATCTTATTAATTATATTGAATACGTCGATTTCCCGTATGGTGAATCAGATAAAATTAAATACGGTACATAAAACTAATTAGTAATTTTGCTTTAACTTACCTTCACAATCACTTTTATTTAGAAATTGTGAACAATATAATCATGATACAAGGCAGAGTGAAATTTTATGTCTCATCTAAATCTCATCTAACCGGGCAATAAATGGTACGCTCTATGCCTCATTAAAGGAACACATTACCAAATAGAATTTTGAAAAACACCGTAAGCATAAATTTGATTTAAAAAATCAGAATATGAACATCATATCCAAGGTGCGTCAAAATTAAGTCTAAGTATTGATTTTTAAAACTTGTTTTTTGTATAATGGATGCGAGTTGCTTTTGATCAATTGTATTGTATATCATATCGCTGGTCCTACAAGGTTTTTTTTTTTATTACTCATTATTTGTTATTACTCATTATATTTGTTGCAATGATCAGCAAATCGGGAGGCATGATTATTTTAATGGAATTTTAGTACGGTACGCCAGTCTATTCAACTTACAATAAATTGGTACATTAAATTTCAGTGACAGGTTGATAAATAATCAACCAATTACTCGATCGATCTATCATCCATCCATCAATCAATCAATCAATCAATAAGTCTATTACAAAGTTCTTGTATTCACATGTGAGCAAGTATTAACATTGTCATTGGGTCTACAGGTAAGTACTCTCACCATTACCCATCAAAGAACACCACTCCTTTCTAGTTAATTGTGTGACACTCTTTACCGTAGAACTAGAAGTAGTAGTTCCCCTGTGACTCTTAGCAGATACACAGAACGAACCCCCGGAAAATTTCGAACCTCTACAGCTAAACGCTCTGAAAAATGCTTGCCGATACTGGTGACTTGATAAGTTATATATAATGGGGTTCACAACAGAGTTTGTATACACCAGCACACGCGCGATATGTAGAAACATTTTTAGTTGTGGCTGAGAAAGCCGTAATTCTCGAAATGTGCTAAGCATGCTCATCAGCGAATACACTTGAAATGGTGACGAGAGAAGAATGTACACTACGCCATTTATAATCAACATTCGCGTTACTTGATTTCGGATTTCTGTGAGTTTCCCGCCATTGACACCATTGCTTACGCGCGTTGCAACTCTCGAATACAAGCTACGGATTATTAGAACGTAGAATACGGTCTCAAAAATCACGTTAACAAAAAATGGAACTGTTTGAATGATTTCCACATAAACCTTTACAGCTTTTGAAATTGCAACGAAATAAACATGCGTGTCAGGGTAATGGCTGTAAATTTCATCGTCTGGCCAAAGTATGCACTTGGTGATTCGGCCCATGTACCCAGGTGTCATAGATGCAGCTAGTATAAAAGCAAAACACCAGGTACAAGTTAGCAACGTCATCGCTCGTGTGAGGCTATTCACTTTATATTGTTCTAGCGGTTTACACACAGCGTAAGAACGGCCTAGGGCAATTAGACTTATCAGAAACTGGCCTGAAAAATAAGCAATGTTCTTAAAGAAATATATCACACATATATCTACAACATCTTTCGCAACATTGTCCATGTAAACGTCGGAGGTTGCGTACATCCAGAGTTTATCTCCTATAGCAAAACTCAGAAATACGACGTCGCTTATGGAAAGATTGACTAGGTATAGGTTTGTTATCGTGTGCATATACTTGACGCGATACACGACGAAAAGGAAGGCTCCATTTGTGATCCAACCGAGAACTAAAAGTACCGGCATGATGACGGCAGTTATGATGAAGTCTACATGGGTGTAGATTAGACTCTCCGCGGCGGCAGGAGTCGAAATGTTCGAAAGGGTCATGTTATTTTCAGCACAATATTCAAGAAAAGTGGTTTCATTCAAGTGTTCCATTTTGGAAAATAGGCCTATGTCGTTGCACGATTATAGCGTATACAAACTTGTGAGACGTTGAAAATGTTCACAAGTGAACACACTCGGAACTTGGGCCTATCTGCAACGAAACAGGGTAATACATTTGTCTTCTTCAAGGACATTCCAAGTTTATCCCTCAAACACTTAACGGTATTCAAACGAATTTAGCAATCATTTTCAGCTTATACATGGTTCAATGCCATAAGAGAGCACTTATGTAAAGATGTACGTATAGGTCAAGTCCTTTGCAATCAAACGAAGTTGCTTTTCTTTTAGTTTATAGTTTTATTTTGGCCGTTTTATTTTATTATCCACTATCACCGTGACTACTACTAAGTATATACCTAATTAGCTCCAAGGTAGCGAAACATGTTAGGCCTACAATACTATCATTATCTCCGTATGGTCTCTAATCTAACGTATTTAAAGTAGCGAGCTCAGCAGCCGACGTCATCGTAATGAAAATATCTTTACATGTCGCGTTGCCACATGCTAACTTTTGCTTATTATAATAGATTAACGGCAAGTCGCTTGATAAGGTTACCTTGTACATTGATAGTTATTATTATCGAATGTGAATTCGTCCATATGTATTTCCAGGCCGCCATTAACTATCATCTCAATCAAGTTGATTAAACTATCAACACGCGTATAAATCACTTTATGCTAGATATCTAGATGTTTAGCAAACAGTCCAATAATATGTAATTTGCTTTATGATGAAAACGCTGTAATTGAACTCAGGGGTAGCTTTTTATCTCACAACACTTCTATTCAAGCGAGGTCGACGTCAAAACCCAGGTAATTTATATGCCGTATTAATGTTTAAAATCCGTAATTTAACCAACATTGTTAAGGAGACCTATTAGTAAGAATTACTTCTATTATTCATATTCTGTTGTATTATGAGAGAAGCATGTGACTATATGACATATGATTTATTGGAAAGTATTCAGGGGCGGATTTAGAGGGGGGGGGGCTAAATAAAAAAAATAGAGCGCATAAGAGAAATATTATTAAATAAATAATATACCATTCCGGCGTTATTGAACTTGTCCAAACTATCATTGTAATGTAATTAATGTTAAATAATAATAATAATAATAATAATAATAATAATAATAATAATAATAATAATAAATAATAATAATAATCATTTCAGCATTAATTACCTTGGCCTAAAGCTTGTAATAAGGAACCTACAGATACTATTTACTAGGCCTATGAATAATATCTTCTGTTAATTCCCCTTAACGTCGTTTTTTAAATTGTTCTGTAATTCCTCCATTGTCTATGTTCCCCTTAACGTACAGGTAATAATAATAATTAATAATAATAATAATAATAATAATAATAATTTCGACATTTACATTGGTCTAGCCTTGTAATCAAGAACCTGCCGATTACTATGGCTAATATTAATAACTAGCTCATTTTTACATTCATTTGGTGCTCTGCCATTTGGCAGGTCTTATGGCATCCAGTATTTTAGTGGGGGGGGAGTTAGCTGAATAGCCTGTACGACCGTTGTCACGACTATTTCTTTTCACCTTTTTTGGAGTACGTACGACAAAAAAAGTAACATTCTTTCAAGACAATCAAACAGCTTGTCGTACCACTGCTAAAACGTATGAAAAAAATATGCCTGTAAAATTAAGGGCATTTTAAAAGTTTTACTGTATAATAATTCTATTCTTTTGTTGATTATTTTAATGTACTACTGAAGTTTGGTTTATGTTATAATGTTAAGTGAATCTGATTCTCGCAACAATAATCGTTGATTTAAAATAAAGAAACTTATTATTATTAACTTATTATTATTTTTCTTGGAATCAACATCATTCATTATAGGGTCCTTTGTTCTATTATTATTGTTATTATCATTATATGTAGTGTAATGGTTTCTTTAATTGATCGACCTAATATTATTATCGTAAATAATTTAATTATTGTGATCGATCCTTATAATCGTTGATGTTGGGCAACTCGGACAGCGTCGTATGATTGTTATATATATATTTTTTCAATAATGTTTGTAGGCCTATTGATAATAGGCCAAAACCACTCCCACCTGAATTTTCTAGCAAAATAAAAAGCTTGGAGGCGGGATTTCTTTTTTTTAAAAATAAAAATAGAAATTGTCCAGGAAATTCTAATCAAATTAAGTATAGACCTATTTTAAGTGAATTATAA